CTGAACACGAGCGAAAGAATCGTGATGAGCTAATGGTTGCGTTATTGTGCCTGAATCCAGCATAGATTTACACGTCATATTCTGACGGCGAAGCATAAAAGGATTTGTGATCATTCGCAGCATCTCTGATCGATCTTCAGATCGGGACGAGAGGAGTGAGGGCAGTGAACTGGCTTTGCTGCGAAGCACCAGCATCGTCAGCATCTGACTTGTCAACTCTCGCATTAATACTCTGCTTGTCGTCCTGCTCGTTAAATTGTCGCGTTACAAAGACTCGTCGCTCTTGCTGAACTGAGTACCTGGATGTGGGGCAGGAATTTGCTTCGATCGGTTGAGACGGGGATGCTGTCAGCTACTGAACAGTGACATCTGTTCTTGACCAAAGCTTCACAAAGTCTATTACACTTCTTTAAATTCGCTGCGTTGGATGAAGGTTGAGGAGATATCGTTACGTAGTTCACGAGGATTGCCCCCTCCTCCTCCCCCTCTAATGGATTGCCGAATAACTACTTGCCGAGAAACATTCAGAAAACGAAGAAACCCGAGAAAATGGTCACAGACTACTTCGTGACCGCACGAACAGAACTTACCACTTGGTGATGCGATTGGTGTTGATGGTCCAGTAATGGAGCTAAGGAGCAACGAATTGGCAAGATTGCGTGAGTTCTGACTTACTTTCGTGGTGCAGGACAAGTCCGATTGTCCGATGATTGATTACAAAGACTGTACTTTGTACAAGCACGTGTACAGATCAAGTAAATCGATGAGCCATGTTTTATCGGCTATTGTTTTCAGCGTTTGTCTGCCAAGTAGTCGAGTTGTAGGTAGTCGAAACTTGGTGTCAACAATTTACAGCACTGTAATATGCTTAGACATTGTGTCGTCTGCCGCATACGCAGATTTATTTCTTAGACTGTTTTCTGTTTAATGAATGTTTTATTACTTTTATTACTTTGTGGTAACAGTCGATTTGCAAGTTCAGATTTTGGTGTTAGCTGTTTCCTCAGCCGCTTCATTAGCCATGATGCATGACGCTCCAGGTAACAGCCTGAACCGGTTTTTGTAGTATTTTTTCTTTGCCGCGCATTTCATTGCGTCAGTGACTTGTGCGTAGCTTCCGAACAGGAACGGAACCGCAGCGACATGCTCTGGGTTCAGCTAAGACAGGCTTCTTAACGTGTGTCGATGATCTGACGTTTCGTTCGTTAAGTAGTTAATGATAATTGGAATAATGGTGAACAGCACGACAGTCGTTAAGATGATGGTGATTTGAAATAATGATACAGTAATGGTTAGAAAAATGATGCCAGTAATGATTATAATAAGAGTGATAATGACGTGATGGCGATGATGGTGGAAATGATAATAACGAGGGGAACAAGGCGACGACCATGACAGTCATAACGATGAATTTGAGATATGGACGATGGCAGCGAATACTATATTGATAATGTCACCTGTGCTTATTGGCTGACTGCGTTGTTATTCCTTTGGATTTTGATCATGAGGCGATGTAAACATGCTGAATGATTGTAATGATGACTATGATGATTAAGGCATAAACGGTGACGACATCCTAGCATTGTGATAGCTATGAATTGACGTTCATTTAACTGATTC